TGGACAGTGGATAAAGTGGATAAAGTGGATAAAATGGATAAAATGGATAAAATGGATAAAGTCTGGGATAGTGGGAGGTGTCCCTGCCCATGGGATTGGATGATCCCTCCCAACCCAAACCATTCCAGGATTCCCTGTGCTGGTTTGGATGGGATTTTGGGAATAAATCCTTCCCTGGGACTGGGATGGAATTCCCAGAGGAATCCCTGGCTCAGGCTGGACAGGGCTGGGAGCAGTGGGAGCTGTCTCTGCTGAGCTGAGCTTTATGATCCCTCCTAAGGCAGAGCATTCCATGATTCCAGTGATCCCTGGGAAAGCTTGCTGGAAGCCTTGGAGGGGATGGGGACATGTGACAGCCTGGGGACAGGGGGACAAGGCCACAGGGCAGGGTCAGCGTGGCCTGGCAGGAGTGGACGTTTCCCTTTGTCCTGCCAAGCCTGGCTTTGGATTGGAACTGGGATTTTTTTTTTTTTTTTTTTTTTTTTTGGCTTTTCCTGCTGAGTTTTGGAGCAGCCTGGCCCGGCTCAAACTGTCATTGTCACCCTGGGGGGACAAAAAAAAAATAAAAAAAAATAAGGGCAAAACATTCTTCTCCCAGGAAACATCATCCAGGATTTCCTGCCCTGATTCCCTCTTGTCCCTGGACTGGGAATGATTCTCCCAGGAGCTTAAGCCTGGCTTAAACTCATCTCTCCCCTTTCCCTCCCACTGCATCCACGATTTTCCTGCCTCTGTTTCCTCGTGGATGCTCCCCCATCCCACAGGGAACCCAAATCCGAGCTCAGCTTGGAGGATTTTTTTTTTTCCCCACCCCTCCAGCAGGGCAGGGCTGCTCCTTCCTCCAGCAAATCCTCCAGGAAATTCCCTTTGTGCTGCCCCGCTGAGGAGCCCCGAGCTCCCCACATCACATCAAAAATATTTAAAAAAAACATAAAAAATAACCTGCAACTCCAAATTCTTCGAAAAACCCAAACCCATGGAATCTCGAGGTCAGGGCAGGGCAGGAAGGATGGACAAGGGGCAGGGGCGTGGAAAAATAAAAAAAACACAAACCTGAATTTTAGATGTAAAACATCAGGGCAGTGCCTTTCACACTGTTTGCATAATTGGTGACCACAAATAATCCCCTGAAATGACCTAAATTTGTCCCATCCGGGGGCTTTCCAGGCCCAGTTTGTTTTCTGAAATTCTGGTTTCACCTTTGCAATTTTTTAATTTTTTATTTTTTTTTTTTCTTTCCCTCTCGGTGTCTTCTCCCCCAGCTGAATTGTGGTTCCAAAATGCAGATTTGGGAACAAAAGCGAGCTCTCACCTGGGGCTGCCAGGCTCTGGTTCTGAGGTTGAGTCGATGAAAATTTGATTTCATTTGAGATTTCCTCAGGAAAAGGGAACTGAGGCACCAAACAGCTGCGAAAATGACAAATGAACACCAAAAAAAATGCTCAGAAAAATCAGGTGAAATGACACTGAGGTGACCTGGGCCAGCTCCTCTGGATTCACATCTGGCCCAGCTGTGCCAAAATTCACATTCCACAGCCAGGCCCCACTTTAATTTGATTTTTTTTTAATTTTACTTCTTAATTTTATTAAAATTTGCGATATTTTTTTCCCCCTAAATAATTTGCAGCGAGTTGCTGGCTCAGTCCATGGTCACAAAAATCTCATTTTCCCCATTTTCCTTCTTTCCAACCTTTTCTTTGCTCTCTTCTGGAAGCCACCTCAGCCAAGAGCTTCCCTCCATCCATCCCCCTTTCTCCCTAGGATAATCCTGGTTCAGAAAATTGGGAATAAATGGATTTATAACCCAGGAATGGGAATTCTTAGATACAGGGGAAGAAGCAGCCTCAGGGGGAGGAGTTTCCCCATGGAATCAGAAGGAATTTCCCCATAAAATCAGGAGGAATTTCCC